ATCTGGCTTCAGCAGGCACTGCCAAGCAGGCTTCCAAAGTGGTGCACCAAGCGTTTCTTTTGTGTTTAAAGAAGTTTTTTGGCTGGACATGGTGGCTTATGTTTATCATCCCAGTGCTTTGAGAGACAGGGGCAGGAGGATAACTTGAGGCCAGGAGTTTGAAATCAGCCTGGGCAACGTAGTGAGACCCTGTATCTACAAAAAAAATGTTAAAAAATTAGCTGGGCATGGTAGTGTGCACCTGTAGTCCAAGCTACTTAGGAGGCTAAGGTGGGAGGATCGCTGGGAGCTGGAGAGGCGGAGGCTGCACTGAGCTATTATTATGTCACTGTACTCCAACCTGGGCAACACAGAGACCCTGTCTCTAACAAAACAAAAACAAAAATCAAAGGTCAGCTTCTCTTCCACCTCCTGCAGATATCCATTGTCAACAGACTGTTCACACACACACACATGCACACTGCATAGTGACGTAAATGGGGTTCTCTGAGGCATCTTGCTGGCAGTTGTTTTTCTTCTTCTCCCTTTGAAGTCACTGGAGACAAGGTGGGAGCTCCACTCGCCTTCCCCTAGAAAGCTTTCTCACTGTGGTCCCGCTCAGCGTTCCAGCTCCACAGCCTGACACATGGTTCTCTCTGTCACTGGAGTCTGGCCACCAAGGTGTCTCTGTGTGGAAGGAGTTATCTGGTGGCAGCTGGGAATCAGGTGCGGTCCCAGGGAGGCAATGGGGAGGGCCTCCCAGGCCCTCCCTCCCTTCCTGACTCTCCAGGGGCTTGCTATAAGCAGGGCGCGGTTTTGCTGTAAGCATCACGTGATCCTCAACTTGTTCCATAAACTCGTCCCAGTTCTCAGCAACGACTCAGTGGTACACCTCCCTGGTCTACAACTTACAAAATCATGTTTTCCTTCCTTTGTTGCCCAGCTGGTTCCTGCTTCATCTTTACAAACCTTCCTAAAATGCTTAAGAATAGGATACCAGGGCTCGGTGGCTCACGCCTGTAATCCCAGCACTTTGGGAGGCCGAGGCATGTGGATCACTAAAAATACAAAAATTAGCCTGGCATGGTGGCAGGTGCCTGTAATCCCAGCTATTCAGGAGGCTGAGGCAGGAGAATTGCTTGAGCCCAGGAGACAGAGGTTGCAGTGAGCCAAGATGGCGCCACTTCACTCTAGCCTAGGCGACAGAGTGAGACTTCATCTCCAGAAAAAGAATAAAAAGAGGACACAGGCTGGGGTGAGACAGAGAGGATGAAGGGGCTTGGTAGGGGCCCGTGAGAGCTGGGCCAGGGCAGGTCAAATTCTTCAGGGGTTGTATTTCTGCCGAGCTTGGCTTCCCGAGGTGGCATTCTACTTAAAGAAAACAAACTGAAATTCAGCACAGGTGGCCTCACTGGTCTTCTCACTTGGGTCATGCTGCTCCCAGGAAAGGCAGCTTTATATGGGGAGCTGGGGTTCACCCCTGTGACTCCCACTGTGGTTCCGGGCTATCAGCTGTGGCCTCAGCATAGGGTGCAGCCAGGAGACCTGGGGGCAGGGCTGGCTTGATGGCCTTGGGACCTTTGCGATTGAACAGGGCCCTGAGCTCAGAAGGGTGCCATGTTTGTTTTATGCTCTATTGTTACAGTCTTAAAATTATTCTTTTTTGGAGACAAGAGTCTTGCTCTGTTGCCCAGGTTGGAGTGCAGTGATCTCTGCTCACTGCAACCTCTGCTTCCTGAGTTGAGGTGATTCTCCTGCCTCAGCCTCCCAAGCAGCTCACGCCTCTAGTCCCAGCACTTTGGGAGGCTGAGGTGGGCGGATTACCTGAGGTCAGGAGTTCAAGACCAGCCTGACCAACATGTTGAAACCCCCATTTCTTCTAAAAATACAAAAATTAGTTGGACGTGGTGCTGTGCTCCTGTGGTCCTAGCTACTCGGGAGGCTGAGGCGGGAGAATCGATTGAACCTGGGAGGCAGAGGTTGCTGAGCCGAGATTGCGCCACTGGACTCCAGCCTGGGTGACAGAGAGACTTTGTCTCAAAAAAAAAAAAAAATAAAAATGAAAAATATGCAACCATCAATGCCAGTCTGCCCTTGTTTCACTGGGGCAGGAATTCTGAGAGCCATATGCCCCTCTACTTCTTAGTACCTCTCACTGGAGGGAGAAAGCTGGTAGGTAGAGGCACCATGATGCTGAGAACCCTGTGGGCTGCCCATGCAGTGTATGACACGTTCCCACCCTAGGTCTCCTAGCCTTAAAGTTGCCCTGAGAAGGCCTGGCAGCTGCAACTTCATTTTCCAGGAGGGCTGCAGCCCGAGACAGGGGCTGTGTGTGGCCCATGCAGAGGACACAGGCCCAGATATGGCTGCTGCCAGCCTTGCCTCTGCTACAGATCTCCCGAGGGAGAGGAAATTACTTCTGGGCCCAGGAGTAAGTGGGTGGTTCAATGCGTGCATTTCATGTACACCTTCAGAGTCAATGGAGGCAGCAGAGGTGTTGACAGAGCCCGGTGCTCCCACAGTGGTGTGTGACAGAAGAGGGTCTCCAGGCAGGGTTCCCCTGCACAGGTCTGGGGTCTAGGGCTGGGAAAGGCAAGGGGATAACGGAGAACAAGTCAGCTGGTAGCCCCATTGCCTCTACCTAGGCAGGAGCAGACTGGGGACACAAAGAGACAGAGATAAGGTGGGAGGGGGTGGGAAAATCCTTGGGACTTGCTAGAGACAGCCGGGGCAGGAGGGAAAGAGGGCAGGGTGTGTGGGGGAGGAACCGCACAAAAGCAGCCTGGAGTGGGGGAGGGGATGGGAGATGGGGAAGGGGCTTCCTTCTTCTCCCGTGTTTTGAGTTCTGGGCTGGCTGTGTTCTGGGCCGGCTGTGCTCTGGGCCCTGTTTGCTTTGGAAGGACATCCAGTTAACTCCTTCTTGCCTGGAAAGTTGCTGAAGCCTGGCTAGAGAAGGAGGGGGCTTGAGAGCTGGGAGGTGGTGGCCAGACTGGGGAGGTTACGGCTCATTTTTCCTACCTGGTCATCAAGGGGATGCTGGAGTGATGGAAACAGGAACCCCCAGCAGGACTGGGACTGGAGGCCTCCGGGAAGCATGTGTTCCAGGCACCTTGCAGGCGTCCCCTCAGTTCCAGCCTCAGCTCAAACACTTGCTCAGACACTCACACCTACTGGTACTCTGCAAGGGGTGTGTATGCACACACATGCGTGCATGCACACGTACACACAGATACACACAGGTGCACACATGCATGCAAACACAGATACACACGGGTGCACACACACATATACACACACACATGTACACCTCAACAGACTCCTATGCTCAGGTCATTTTCTCTTATCCTTCACCAGGACCCAGCCAGCTGCCATACCCCCAGGAGGATAGAGAAACTGAGGCTCAGACAGAAACAGGGACTTGCTTGTAGTCAGACCTTAGGTGGCTGAACTGGAATTCAAACCTCAGCCCCTTTGGCTCCTGGGATCCCTGCTGTGGGCTGGGTGTGGGGGCTGGTTTCAGATCCACCCCCTTCTCCACTCTGCAGTGTGGCCTGGGTACAGCCTGGCCACCAGCTGAACACCCAGAGGCCTCGGGCCCTTAGCTCCATTTTCCTTCTGTTGGGGCTGAGCCACCACTCCTAGTCACTTTTGTCCACATCTGGCCAGGGTTCATCCGGCACAGTGAATATTTGAGTGGAGAAACATTTCACAGTGGCTGCTAAGGTTGGGCAGGAGGAAGGGTCTCTGTCTTGTAGGCACCCTCCTGGAAGGTGGTTTTTAGAGTGTTCCTTTCAGATGCCTTCCTTGAGGGGGCCCTCAGAGGCCATTTTTTTCGTTTATATCCACATTTTAAAAAATTAACAAAATGAAAGAAGGTAGCCAAGGCCCCGGTGTGCAACAAGAAGGGCTAATATTTACCAGTCGCCTCTTGTGTGATAGAGTCTGTTATACCCATTTCACAGATGGACAAAGAGAGGCACAGTAGGGCGCAGCCATTTGGTTGAGCCAAGGTGCAAGCCTGGGATGGTCTGAATTGCTTGTAGCTCCCCCAGCAACCTCCCAGCCCCTATCATGGATTCTTCCATAATAGGTGTTGCTGGGGCTTCTTAGCAGCTCTACTTGAGGTACATGTGGAGCCAAGATTTACTGATCAAGTGAACATACAGAAGGGTGACTCCAGACCTCTCTTCTGCTGGCTGTGGGAGAACTGTTCCCACCCTCGGCCTTGTTCAGGTGAGAGGTGAGTGTGTGTGGGAAGGTTTTTGGAGAGGGCTGTCGCAAAAGTTAGGAAGCATCTAGACCCTTGGTTCATTTATCAACAAATATAAGCCAAAGCATGTGGTGGGTGCTGGGACACACCAGCGACAAGAACCAGGAGACCACTGCCTCATGACGCTGGCACTCTTGCTTCCCCTTCAGGTTCCTGGGCACTGTGTGACTCTGGACAGGTTGCTTTGTCTCTCTCTGCCTCAGTTTCCCTGGATCTAAAATGAGGAGACTGGACTCCAATTTCAGAGTCCTTCCAGCTCTTTAATTAGTTGTCACTTCCTCCTAGCGGATAGAGCTTGTGTCTGTTTCATCCTCATGGCCGCTGTGTTGAGCTGGCACTGGGATCCTTGGACTGCCGTACTTGGCTGGGCATTGACTTCTTGGTGTCCTCTTAGTACTGATGGCAGAGCATCTTCAGTTTTACCTTTGATTATTTCCACTTCACACACTTAGAGACACAAAAAGATCACATGCCCCAAAGCTTCTGCAAGGTTGCCGATTGGAGCAACATTGGATTGACTGGAAGGGCCAAGAATCTGTAGGAGGATGGCCGTTAAGGAGGGTCTTGCAGAAATCCAGGAGAGAGAAATTGTGGCTTAGAGTCCAGTGGTGGTGGGAAAGGAGAGGAGGTAAACGAAAAGGTTCAGAGATATTTGGAAGGTGGAATCGAATTAATAGGATAGGGCGAGGGATGTGTCAGTCATCTATTGACAAAATGACGCTGTGCAAACAAACCATCCCAAATGTCATGGTGTCAATTCACAGGCATTTATTTCACTTACAATCTGCAGGTTGATGATTTAGACTGGGTTTGGCTGGATGGTTCTTCCTCCCTTGGCTGGCCTGGCTGTTGGTTGATCTAGGATGGCCTCAGCTGCGGACAACTCATCTGAGCCCCCTTGTCAATTATCTTCCAAAAGGCTTCCCAGGGCAGTGTTCTCATGGCAATCCTGGAAGAGCAAGAAAACGCAAGTGAAATACACAAGCATCATGTCTGTTAACATCTCATTGGCCAAAGCATGTCATGTGGTTGAACCATGTGACAAGACACTCTAAGATCAGAGTGTGAGGGCACTGTAGGTCACATGGCCAAGGGCATGGATGCTGGGGCACATGCTGGAGAATTACAGCCATTCCTGCTGTCTGCTGCAAGGGCAGAGGATGAGGGAGAAGAAGGTACATCCACAAACACAGTCACACCACAGCGTCCTACAGTATTATTTTTCCTCTTAATAACACTTTAGAGATTTGATTCATATCAGTTTCTGCAGACCCACTTTACTTTTTTCTAGCCACCTGGTAATGTCACAGCCAGCTCTTATTATCTCCATAGTACATAAGGACAGACTGAGGCTCAGAGAGGTAAGGTAACTTGCCCAAGGCCACACAGCTACAATTGAGAGGCAAACATTAGATCTATTCTTTTCCAAAGCTTGTCCTCTTTGGCACTGTCACACTCACGTTTCTTCCTCAGGACTCATCCTGTGGCCAGCTGGAGCGATTCCAAAGGTCAGTCACGAGTAGTAGTTACCGAAGTTTAAGAACCTATAAGAGGAGAGTTCAGACTCAAGTTCTTCCCACCTCCTGATCTCAAAAAATATGGAGCAAAGTTTTCCTTGCCTCTGAAAACAACTTGGTGTCTTCTGTTTGGAAGGAGCAGAGAAGGGCTCAAACTGAAAGGATCATGTGGTCTTGTAGAAAGAATGATTTATTGGGAATCACGTGCCCTGGGCTCCAATTTTGCACCTCTTGCTTATGGCTAGGTGGTTCTGGGCAAGTCCATCAAACCCTCTGGACTTGGGTTTCCCCATCCATCAGCTGTGGCCTCTCTTTCAAAGGAAACATAGAAAACATGCTGTGGAGTGTTGAAACTTGGAATCAAGTCTAACTTGCTTGCTTAGGGAAGTGTCCAGGAATGTTGGATCTGGATTGCCGGTGCAAGTCTCCCTGGATCTCTCTGGCCTCACTTTCCTCCTCTGCAAATTGGGGGAAAAGTATCTACTCCCACAAGGGCTGGTGAGCTAATATAGGGAGGGGCCCTAACGCAGACCTGGCACCCTGCAGGTGTCCAGGGAGTTGTAGCAATCAGCTGAATGCTATTTTCCAGCTGGCTGTCCAGCTGTGAAAGCTGGAAGGCCCTTAGAGTGTCTTGGTCTCACTTTGCCCTAGGGGAAACTGAGGCTGAGAGTGGAGAGAACTTTCTTAGGGCCCAGAGAACTCCTGACATTGCTGGGGGCCATCAAGGGATGTTGAGGAAGATGTGAACTGGCGTTTACACAATGCCATCTGCACTGCGTGCTGTGCTTAGCTCCGTCATGCGAGATTTCATTTAATTCTGACAACATCCTGTGAGGTAGGTGCTATCACTTTTACCATTTTATTGGGAAGAAAACTGAGGCTCGGAGGCCTCGAGTGGTTGGACATGCAATTCCTGCAGAAGGCCACCTGGAGCTCTCTGGCTTTCTCTGCAATGGACAAAACCCATCAGAAGGTGACTGAGTGAGGATGAGGTCATTAGAATCCACACTAAATGAAATGAAAAAGAAACTAAGTCATTCTCAAATGTCAGCACTTGAACTGTTATTGGCAACCAATGGCTTGGAACATAGTTCACAGCCAAGGGTATCAGGGTGGGCCTTGGACATCATCTGTTTAAATCAGAAATGATGCTGACATCCCCAGGGCCTCAGAGTCACACAAGGGGCTTAGGTCAGGTCACTGTGGGTGGAGGTTCTGTGGCAAGATCAAGGATCTATGGACGGCAGTGCAGGCTCTGAGATGGGCTTGCTCTGTGATCTCAGGGGAGTCACTTGACTTCCCTGGGTCTCAATCTCCTCATTTGTGAAATAAAAGGGTTTGGACCAGAAAATATATAAGGTCCCTTCTGCTCCATCACCTAAGACAGGGTATCTTAAATGCTGGTTAAGAGAGTGGGCATTGGAATCTGGAAGACCTGGTATTAAATCCTGATTTAAAAACACCTAGGCACTAAGAGGCTTAAGAAAAAACAAACCAAAACAAAAATCAACACATATAAGGGAATGGGGGAGTAAGGGAGTAGTAATATATTGGCCAAAGTGGTTGGTATTAGTTTCAGGAATGGATTGATCTGGATGCTTACACAGAACTCCCATGAGAGTGTCTGTTGGTTTCATTGGTTCTGAATGAACTATAGTATCTCCCAGAGCCAATCACTGTGACTGAGAGAATTGTAGAAGCAACTAACTTCAGCCAATCATGACCCACACATTCTGTGTGGGTGAGAGTAGGGCAGGTCTTTCTGAAGGGATGTAATGATACCCTCTGCTGAAGAAAAGGTGGATGGATGCTAGGGAGGTAAAAACATTCATTGCAGCAAGTAATGGTCTGCCTGAGACTGCATTTTCCCATATGTAAAGTAGGGATTATTCTTACATTTGCCTTTTTATGGCTCACTTAAGATCAACTTACTCCTTCCAATTTTCCTGTCTTCTTGTAATTAGGCAGGGCATGTGACTTCCTAGCAAAGGGTGGTGCATGCATGATCAGGTGTGAGTTCTTTCTGCGTTCTCTTCCCTCTGTAGTGAACAGGATGCTGATATAGTATTGAGACAGTAGAGCCACAGATGGACTCAGATTGGATCGCTGAGTCACAACATGGAGCACAGCTACCTTGGAGAGTGACCAGGCTTCCCTCACACTTTGTGTGAGCAAGAAATGAACCTTTTTGTACTAAGCCACTGAGGTGTTCAGACATGCTTTTGTTTTGTTTTTTTGAGATGGAGTCTTGCCCTGTCACCCAGGCTAAGTGCAGTGGCACAATCTCGGCTGACTATAACTTCCACCTCCCGGGTTCAAGTGATTCTCCTACCTCGGCCTCCTGAGTAGCTGGGATTACAGGTGCCCACTACCACTCCTGGCTAACTTTTGTATTTTTAGTAGGAATGGGGTTTCAGCATGTTGGTCAGGCTGGTCTCAAACTCCTGACCTCATGGTCTGCCTGCCTCGGCCTCCCAAAGTGCTGGGATTACAGGTGTGAGCCATTGCGCCCGGCCCAGACATACTCGTTTAAGCTCTCCCAGCTAAACATTTATGTGACTTTGTTCATGGATGTCTTTCTATGCTCTGACATGTAGACCCAGCTCATTCTTTTACATATTTGCGTACTATTCCATACTGCGGTGACACCTTGATGTATTTCACCAGTTCCCTTTAGATCATTCTTGCATTATTGCCGAATTTCATGGAAACAAAGAATGGCGTATAAATAATACCATTGTGTTCTTACGCATCCTCATAAGTCTTTCTGCAAATTGGCTTGGTGACAGTGGCGTTGCTTGGTCAGGAGCATGAACATTTAATGTGGGTTTTTACTCCCATTAACAGTTTTGAGAGAGCCTGTTTGCTCTCTCTACCTTTGTTAATGAGGAATATTATTGATGTTTCCATTTTTGTCAGTGTGATAGACAGAAAAGGGTGTCTTATGTTAATTTGGGTTTTGTAGCAAGTTTTTGAATTTTTCAGACATCCTGCCAGCTTCACCCTACTTGTTCGAGAGGAAAATATTGGGCCGACGCTGCCAAGAGAAACAGAGAGACACACACAGGTGACAAGGTGAGGAGGCAGAGACTGGGGGAGAGAGAAAGAAAAAGAGAAAGGAACGTACCCAGTCTCCTCCTCTCTAGATTCACACACCAGCCCTCTGTCAGTCTTACTCAAGCAGGGCTCGGATCCTGAAGTGGGACCCCGATCACCTCTGTGGCCAATAGCTGGAGGGCCAGCCAGCATCTGGGTTTGGACTGGAGCAGGGGAGGGTTGTTGGCTCCGTTCCTCTTGGCCTAAAGCCACGAGCCTAGCTTGTTTGTACAGTTCTTCAGTCTTCTTCCCCGTATCTTAGTATTTTTGGCTCTAAGCTAGCTCCCTCCCAGCCAGGGAGGAGATAATTCCACTCGATCTGGGCCTCTGGGGCACTGGGAAGGACGTCAGGAAATAGCAGGAGCATTACGCACTTCTCCACCCGCTGCCGTCCAATCTCATGTTCATAATCTGTGGAAAAGGAACGGGGTTGCTGAGGGAGGCTTCAACACTTGGAGCTGCTTCCTGTTTTCTCTTGAATCGACGCTTTTTCCTAAGACGCCGTCGCTGGGCCTGTGGAACCCTGTCTTCCGGTGGGCGTGCGTACCTCATGAGTACACATGTCCCTGCGGGTGTGTGTGTGCACATGCAGGTTACGTACTCAACAAGCCAGTCAACAAACAGACCTAGGAGAACCCTGGAGGGGGGGCTCCCTTTTTCCTTGAACATGCCCTTTACTCTTGTAACCTCCCAAGAAAGAAAAAGAGGAGTTAGCTTAGATACCTCTTCTTCCAAAGGTCCGTCACCAGCAGCAGTTACCTAAGTTGTCTAGGCAAATCCTTCTCGGATGCCACAGGGACCTTCGTTGTCACCTTCACATCTATACCTTCCATGTTGAGTCTAAGACTCAGCACATAGTAGGCAACAATCAATGAATTGGGGCTAACACTTTAATTAATCATAGAACTGAGAGCAATATGGTCCAGAGAGGACGGGGGGCTTGCCGCAATCGTGCACTATGTCAACCACTAGGTGAAAAAGTGGAACCCAGCGATCCTGACACTCAGTAGTTTCATTTTATGTCATCGTGCAAGATCCTCAAAGAAACTGACTGTTACTGATGGGAGACTTTAAAGTTTTAACTTCTTTAGAACAACCTACAAAAGAGGAATATTTCCCATGTGACTGATGTGGCTGATGGAGAGACAGGTTCAGGGAGGTTAGAGCTGGCTCCAGGCAGAGGACCTAGAATTTGTCTTGAAGTGGCTTCTTCCAAAGCTTGATGCCTTTGTTTGGCAGCACACAGAGGGCTGGTGGGGACAGAGCCTTACCCAGCCTGGATCAGAACCTCTGAGTAGGACTCTCTCACTGTTTAGCGTCTTTTAGAGAAAGAGATCAATGGCATCCAACTGAGCCAGACTTAAAATCTACTCCTTTGTGAACTTTTTCCTTTCCTTTTCTTTTTTTTTTTTTTTTTTTTTTTTTTGAGACAGAGTCTCGCCCTGTTGCCAGGTACCAGGCTGGAGTGCAGTGGTGCTATCTCAGCTCACTGCAACCTCCACCTCCCAGGTTCAAGCAATTCTCCTGCTTCAGCCTCCTGAGTAGCTGGGACTACAGGTGCACGCCACCACACCCAGCTAATTTTTGTATTTTAGTAGAGATGGGGTTTCACCATGTCAGGATAGTCTCCATCTCTTGACCTTGTGATCCACCTGCTGCAGCCTCCCAAAGTGCTGGGATTACAGGTGTGAACCACCACGCCTGGCTGCGAACTCTTTTTCTTAAGCACAGAGTACTTTCTTCCAGAGCTCACAGAAAGTCCTTGTGCTGATCCTGGGAGAGCAACCAGCCCTTGGGGCTCTGGACAGTGAAAGGCCCTTTCTGTCTAGGTATCAACAATTTCCAGTGGAGCCCTGGTGGGGCTGATGTGGCCCGTTGTTGGAAAATGGGGGAAATGTGGAGAGGATCCCAGAGTTACTGGTGGCTTGAGGGGTGGGGGCACCCACTGCAGCCACCTTGACAACCACACCTGATCTGAATCCCCCATTGTCCCGTCCTTCCCATGTGACACTCACATCCATGTGGGCACACACGCGGCCACTCATGCCCACATGCACTCCCCCATACCTGTGCACACATGTGAATATGCACCCCCCACCCCCCAGTTCCTACAGGAGACTGGAAGACTTTGCAAACTAAAACTTTGTCTTCATCTCTTGCTGGGGTTGGCTCAGGGACCTCGCCGATAC